GTTGTTTGGCGGGTCCGGGCTGGGGATTCGAACCCGACAGCTTAGGTGTACGTGGCTGGCGCCCTAGCCGGTTGAGCCATAGGCGCCGAGCCAGCAGTATATGCTTCTTAATGGAAAATCAGAAACTATCACCAAAAAAAAGATTTATAGTAACCCCAGAAATAATTGCTATGAATTTATGACAATGTAATGACTCTATACACTTGATCTGAGCCAAAAGGCTGAGAAGTGATAATGGTTTTCTTTAAATTTCTATGTGCAATTTATTATTAATAGGAAATACACCTGACGCCATCTACTGACTTCTATAAGAAATTAGCCTTGGACTGTTCTGGTCAACAGGTAGCTGTTGACTTATTCCTTCTCAGTGGGCAGTATTCTGATTTGGCTTCTCTCGGTGAGTTCTTCCTAGTAATTTTTTTTTTCTTAAATGAATATCAAAATGGTATTTATATGATAGTATTCTAAAAGTAATAGAGTTTTTATTGCCATGGGAGAATTTAATCTGTTTAGTCTATTATAAACCTTATAGTCTTCTCTAAACATTTAGTAACAGAGAAATTGTTATACTACTATTTAAAAGAATGAAATGTTCATTTTGGGGGCGGCACCTGTGGCTCAGTGAGTAGGGTGCTGGTCCCATATACCAAGGGTGGTGGGTTCAAACCTGGGCCCGGCCAAATTGCAACAAAAAATAGCTAGGTGTTGTGGTGGGCGTCTGTAGTCCCAGCTACTCATGATGCTGAGGCAAGAGAATTGCCTAAGCCCAAGAGCTGGAGGTTGCTGTGAGCTGTGATGTCAGTACTCTACTGAGGGCTATAAAGTGAGACTCTGTCTTTAAAAAAAAAGAAGGGAAAGAAATGTTCATTTTGACCTTATACCTTGGGAAATTAAAGATGGATTCACATTTATGTAGTTACTTTGGTATAATAAAAGTAGCTAAGGGTTTAATTTACAAGGAGTACATGTTTTTTTCCAGGTTGTATTTCTCGGTATTCAGCAGGTAGTGTCTATTACTACCCTTCTTACCACCACCAGCACAACCCTGTCCAAGTACAGAAATTACAGAAGGAACTACAGAGATACCTTACTCGGAAGATTGGCTTTGAGGCAGTCATGAGGATTCGGTGTACCAAAGGTGGGAATGCCTTTTTTACATAGGAGAGAATAATGTTTTTGATACCAGTAAATAGACATGGTTTTATGTAATCTTATAGGGTTTGCCTGTGTAAGATACTTTGTTGACAACATAGAATATGCAATTAAGAAGAGAAGAGGGAAGAATATGGGGAGGGGATGGGGGAGGGGAGGGGAGAAGGGCAGATGGGTGGAAGGAGGGTGACTGGAAAGATCACCTCTATGGTCTGTCTTATAAGGATATAAGTGAATCTTTCTAAAACTAGAATATAAATGTCATAACACAATCACTAAGTAAATGACATAAAGTCTATGTTAACCAGTTAGATGAAAATATTTCAAATTGTATATAAAAACACTA